GTGTGTGTGTGTGTGTGTGTGTGTGTATATATATATATATATATATATATATATATATATTCTTTCTTTTTGTTACCATATCATTCTATGGCAGTAATGAAGTAGTATGCTAGTATGCGGTTCCGATGAGCATTTAAAAATATTTCGGGCTGATTTACATAACACAAAGCCAAAAATCAAAGAATGTTAAGAATGTTAATGCATTAAGAATGCATATATGGAGTGTGTAGGCTGTATGGATCCAAAGCAAAACATATATTGAATTTACAGTAATAACAGTATATGATTGCTGTATGTATCCAGTAGATGGCGGTATAAACTAGAAATAATGTATTTGAGTATAATCAGCCTCCCGTTGCGTTTACAGGCAGCCAAGGTGAGTTCAAGCTGTGAGTTTAAAGGTAAGATAATAGAGTGTAAGTAATGCGTGATTTCAGGCTTTCCCACTGACTGCTTGAGCACACACTTTCACATGTTCATGACAGAGCCCAGAGCACTTTATCAAATATAAAATATGTGCAAAACCACGGAGAATGAATTTCATGCATCAGAGAGGCTGGAATTGAAAAGAAAAATTGTTAGAAGTGAACGGTTTGCACTGTGAGTTTTACCGAAGCGGTGGTGAGGGAACGTTCACCTAAAATGATGAGAGTTTCTCCATGCTGCGGGAAAGGGACATGCTGGGTCAGGAATCATTAAGACCAGCAGGAGAACTGAATTCAGCGACAGAGATTGGAAAGGTATAGAAACAGGTTGAGTGTCTCTTCATCTTTCAGTCATACAGAGTTTAGTAAAGCATGTTTCCAAAGACATTCACGAAAAAATGTAATTGGTATTACTAACATGGTATTTTTTAAAGGACCCTAGAATGCCATATACATATTATATATGTAGTCAGCCAATCATTATTGGGGGGAAAAAACAATAATAACCAGCTGACTGTCCATTTTACCACTTACTACACACCTACTTAACCATTAGGCCTAGATAGATGGACAGAATGATAGATAGAACGATAGCTAGATAGCTAGACAGACAGACGGACAGTTAGACAGACAGACAGACACACACACACACACACACACACACAGCTGGGACTGGATGATATCTGCCATTGCCAGAATATCTCCTGAGGTTAGTGCACTTAAAAGGCTACAATGCAAATACAACTTCACACACTTTCAATGCCAGGAAATGAAATCACACCTCAAACACACACAGTCGCATATGCTGTTAAAGCCAGAGGCGTGATGTGTGTGCGTCCCTGTGGAGATGGACATAAAACACACACACACACACACATTCTGGACTGTCTGCTTCGGCTCAGGGCTCCACAGGGAGATATGTCAGAATCTGAGGAAATCACATTACTCCAGAGTCATCCAGTGTGTGTGTGTGTGTGTGTGTGTGTGTGTGTGTGTGTGTGTGTGTGT